TCCATCTAGTTTCAAAGATTGTAGAGTCATTATCCAGTTCCTAATTCATTTCTTCAGGAGCTGCAAACTACGAGTGATATAAATGAATGTGGAGGATGAGTATTCCACAGGATGGGGGCATTAGCCCACGTGACCACAGGGGAATTGAAGCCAGACTTGGAGAAGACTAGCTTCTCAAGAGAAGCCAGAAATTTGGGTTTAGTTGTAAAATCTGATTTTAAAGCAATGGCAACTAACTTAGAATTTTTAAAAAATATTTATTTTTGGGAGAGCACACGGGGAGGGGCAGAGAGAGGAGTACAGAGAATCCCAAGCAGGCTCTGTGCTGACAGGCTGACAGCAGCGAGCCCCATGTGGGGCTTGAACTCCCAAACCCACGAGATCATGACCTGAGCCGAAGTCGGACGCTCAACTGGCTGAGCCACCCAGGCACCCCTGACTCAGAACTTTTGAAAAGATTTTAATAGTTAAAAAAAAAAATACAATTGCCTTCTATCCTCAGCTTCTGTTTCTCACCTAATTTCTCCTCATCTGATTAGGTCGTTTATGATTGATCACTCTCAACCACCTTACAAGGGTGCGGAGGGGGCAGACAAACAGGAATCGCTTATTGTATTCGGTTCTATCCCTTGGGTTTTTTCAGAAGGAGATAACACTGTTATTGATGGGAATGTTGTGCCCTGCCCAGAAAATTCTCCTTTGATCCATTCCTCATAACTGATTTAGTTATTTCAGTTTGCTGGGTACCTACAGTGTGCCTGGGGTGGGGAAGGAGGGAGGCCTGCAAGATTCTGAATGGTTCTGAGCTGTATATATTTCAGTGCTCTTCTTCATGCAATGTTGTTGTTTCTGGCCTATTGTCACTGGGGCATTTTTGTTTTGTTGTGCTGTTTTTCAGCTTTATTGCGATGATACAGTACAGTTCACACAAAGTATACGAGTTCGTGAATTTTGGTAATTGTCTGCAATCCTATAACCACAAATAAGACCTAAAACAGTTAATTCCATTATCCTAAAAAGTTCCTTCAAATTCTTTTTTTTAAAACATTTTGTTAAAAATGTTTATTTTTGAGAGAGAGTGTGCAAGTGGGGGAGAGACAGAGAAGACAGGATCTGAAGCGGGCTCTGTGCTGACAGCAGTGAGGCTGATATGGGGCTCAAATTTATGAACTTCGAGATAATGACCTGAGCCAAAGTTGCACGGTCAACCGACTGAGCCGCCCAGGCGCCCCGAAACATTTTTTTAAATGTTTATTTTAGTTTCGAGAGAGAGAGAAAGAGAGTGCGAGTGCAAGCAGGGAAGGAACAGAGGAAGTCAAAGGATCTGAAGGGCTCTGAGATGGCAGCAGATAACCCAATGTGGGCCTCAAGCTCATGAACTGTGAGATCATGATTTGAGCTGAAGTCTGATGCTTAACCGACTGAGCCACCCAGGTCCCCCTCCTTCACATTCTATGTGGACAACCCCCTTCCCGAACCCCTGGCTCCAGCAACCCAATCTGCTTTCTGTAACTGAGTTTTGGAATCGTACAATAAGTAGTCTTTTGTGTTTGACTTCTTTTACTTAGTATAATAGGGCATATATTTGTTGTCATTTGGTATGTCATAAGTCCTTTTGGCGCACTTCCAAAATAAATCCTAAATCTGTCTGTCCACTTACACTGTCTACTGTTTCTTTGCTGGTCTAAGCCATCACCTTCTCTTGAACTGATGCTTCCAATGACTTAAACCTAAGCTCCTTGCTGTGGCTCTTGAGCCTCTGTAATCTGTTCTTCAGGGACCCAGAGTGATCTGTTTAATGTAACTCAAATTGCGTCACCCTCTTTCTTAAAACCCTCCAGTGCCTTCCCATGACCCTTAGTTATGGCTTTATGATCCATCTCCTGACCACTTTACTCCCCTTTCCCATATCTCCAGATATTCTCCCTGGGGCCCCCTGCCTTTCAAGCATGCTGGCTTTCTCTACCTCAGCTACCTCAGAAGATGGTCCCTGTCTTTTGTACCCTTTGTTTTCAGCTTGGAAAACCATTCCCAGATCTTCCTTACAGTGGTGCCTTCAGGTATCATCTCAGGGACCACCCAGCTAAATACTCTCTCTGCCCCACTCACTCTATTTTTATTGTCAACGTTTTCTTCTTCTCAAAGCATTTATCATTTGCCCATCTATTTGTTTACCGGCTTATTGCCTCTCTCCCCATTCTGGAAGTCTGAGAGCAGGGACCTTAGACACTGCCACGATTTCATCCCTGGCAAGTCGAACACTAGCTGGCAATAGTAAGCTATTACTAAAAATGTCACCAGTGCATGAATGTTTATATGGGTGGGTCTAGGGAGGTTTGTGCAGATTTACGCATTCTCTCATAAAGTCTTTTCTATGATCATGGATTCACTGTTCTTGCTAAAAGCAACACATATTCAATTTTTAAAAGGTTTGCATTATCTCTCTTCAGCCTTTTATTATATTCCAAATTGTTCTGTACTCTTTAAATTTATTTAAGTAGGGCGCCTAGGTGGCTCAGTTGGTTAAGTGTCCGACTCTTGACTTTGGCCCAGGTCATGATCTCACTGTTCGTGAGACTGAGCCCCATGTCAGGCTCCAAGCTAATAACGATGAGCCTGTGAGCCTTCTTGGGATTCACTCTCTGCCTCTCTCTCTCTGCTCCTCCCCTGCTCGTGCGCATTTGTACGTGCCCTAGTACTCAACTCTCTCTCAAAATAAATAAATAAATAAACTTAAAAAATTTATTTAAGTAATCATAAATGCAGCATAATCTTTTCCTCACATGGAATTTAGATGCCCTTAAAAATACTTTTAAAAATTTTTTCTTTTCATGTTCCATTAAAAATGTCAGGTGTGTCATCCTCCAAAAATTTGCCTTCCTAAATGTACAACTAAATTTTTCTTAGGAGTAAAGAAACTTAAGTCATAGCAAGATGGTTAATTTTCAGGGCACCTGGGTGGCTCAGTCTGTTAAGTGTCCGACTTTGGCTCAGATCATTATCTTGCAGTTCGTGGGTTCGGGCCCCGCATTGGGTTCTGTGCTGACAGCTGGCTCAGAGCCTGGAGCCTGTTTTGTATTCTGTGTCTCCCTCTCTCTCTGACCCTCCCTTGCTCATGCTGTCTGTCTCTGTCTCTGTCTCTCTCTCTCAGAAATAAATAAACACATTAAAACATTTTTTTTAAAGATGGTTAATTTTCCATAACATTTTCCCCCTAATGTTTTCTTATGAAAAATTTCAAACCTACAGCTAAGTGGAAAAAAATTGTACAGAGACTTAAGCTGCAGTGGCATCAAATTTCTTTCCTTATTGGTAACACTTTAAAAACGCATGGTTTTTATGTATTCATAACGAGCAAGCTCTCTTTGTTCCGAAACACCTTAGTCTCGATGTGTTTTCTCCATTTAGTAAACACTTTGGTTAAAATGGGTACAACTAATTGACTGATCTACCAGATTTTCAATGAATATTCTCTCATATAATGCAATAGCACCTATGTACTGCTCATTTGAGAGTTTCATGCCACGTCTACCACTGTGTAAATGTAGGGGAGTTATAGTGAGAGACTTGGTTTTTTTTAATGCGTAAAGTGTGCTACTTTCCATGAATATCTCCTAGGCATTTCCATTGTTGTAGTTGTCAGTTGTAGTTACAGAAACACGTGCAGAACCCACAGAATGACTGTAGGAGTGCACTCTGTAAAGCCCACAAGTTTATACAGGTACACCCACAGTCTTCCAGTTTTGCTGCTTCTGCTGGTCACTAGGAGGAAATGAGATGACTTAAAAAGGACTACAGATCTTTCTCGACTCACATGGGGTTTGTCCTGAGAAAGCCATCCTAAATTAAAGTAAGTTGAAAATGCATTTAATACACCTGACCTACTAAACATCATAGCTTAGCCTAGCCTACCCTAAATCTGATCAGAATGCTAACATTAGCCTCCAGTTGGGCAAAATCATCTAATACAAAGCCTATTTCGTAATATAAGTGTTGAATATTTCCTGTGATTTAGCGAATGCTGTACTAAAAGTGTGAAAACAGAATGGTCCTGTGGGTGTAGAACAGTTGTAAGCGCAATGCACGGCTGACTGCGATCTGCCTGGCATTGTAAGAGAGCATGATACTTGCATATCCCTAGCCCGAGAAAAGATTGAAATCCAAAATCTGAAGTATAGTTTCTGCTGAACGAGCAGCAGACAGAGGGTAGAGAGAGAGGGAGACACAGAATCCGAAGCAGGCCCCAGGCTCTGAGCTGTCAGCACAGAGTCGGGTACGGGGCTCAATCTCATGACCTGCAATAATATTATGACCTGAGCCAAAGTTGGACACTCAACCGACTGAGCCACCCACGTTCCCAGACATTAAAATTAGTTTATAAAAATAATAACGTGTATGGTATTTTGCCTTCTCGACTTCTTGCTATTTTCTTATCTAAAATACAAAATACCACAGAGCAAAGACCTATTTTCTCCCCAAACTCCCCCCAGAATTAGAGAGAAGAAAGAACACATTGAGTATCCTTTGGGTTATAGTTTTAATTCTGTTTATAGAAATTCTATATCGCTACTCGGTGTTCTTTTGTTTAAATGCATGCAGTGCCTGATGTGAGTTGTGACTCCAGAGAAGTCTTATGGGAAAGTAAAAGACCCTCTGCCAAGTGTACGATGCACATGCACATTGCATTTGGCAGCACAGCTCCTGGCGTACAAGGTGCCTTTAAAATACAATGCGCATAATCTCTGGTGGCCTCTAGGAAAGAATCCATCATATGGGGAAGGCAGAGGAAGAAGAATCATTTTTTTTAGTATTATACAATCTTTTGAAATGTTTAAGTGTTTAAGCACATGATAGGTCTTATTTAAATTAAACAAATAAATCATTGAAAATGTAAAAAAAAATAAAATAAAATAAAATACAATGTGCGCAAACAAACACATAGTCGTGGCTCTTTTATACCTTTTAAGGAAAGTGATGTGTTCTTGGTTTGTTTTGGGTAGATTCTGCCGTTCCTGTATCGCTACCAGTCTAAAGAACAATAAGTGGACCTGCCCTTACTGCCGGGCATATCTTCCTTCAGAAGGAGTTCCAGCAACTGATGTAGCCAAAAGAATGAAATCAGAGTACCAGAACTGCGCTGAGTGTGACACCCTGGTATGTGGCCTTCCGCCTGTGCTCACCGTTCCTGGCTTAGACTGCTGAGAAGATTGTTACACGGCTAATCATTTCACCTGTGCCTTTGTCTTCATCCTGCCCTGACTTTCTAAAGTTTATTGTCTCTGCCTCTCCCTTTCCTTTTCTCCATTCTCCTATGTGTAGGCTATGGTGCAATTGGCACCTGACTCCTACCATCACCTAATTTTTCAAACAAATGCTTTCACCCACCACTTCCATTTCCTCCCTTCCCATCATCCTGTGACAACCACCCCTTACCCCCCCCCCCCATCATGTTGCCTACTGGCATAATTCCAGTGGCATAATTCCTCCTGTATTCTGGACTTTGCACTGCTTCTCTCTATTGATCACATCTTTCTTGGTGCGGGTTTCCTACTAGTGTGGTTAGATCATGTGAGGTCTTGAAGACCATGGAAAAGATTCTAGATTTTATCCTAAATGCAGTAGTGAGTCATAGAGTATAAGCTTTTGATCGAGTTTATATTTTTAAGATATTGCTCTACCATGTGAGTGGAGAATGCTTAGGAGGGGACAAATCGGGATTGGTGAAGCCAGTTTGATGGCTACTGGGATGGGTAAGGGAAGAAAGGTGGGATAGGGCGAGAGCATTAGACAGGGAATACAGGATTGTTTTGAGGGGTATTTAGGAGAGACAATTGAAGGAAATCTGTAACTGACTGACTGGATGTGGGGGTGAGAGTATAAAATGTCAAATGAATATACCTCCCAGGTTTCTGACATGCGTAGGCGAAAGTGTTAATATAGGGAGCAAATTTGGAGAAGAATCCAGAGTTAAGTTTTAAATATGTTACATTTGAACTGCTCAGGGGAGGATAATTATCATACAAAGTCCAGAAATCATAAGAGAGATTACATGCTGAGGATCTGAATTTTTTGAGAGAACCTTTCTTGATTGTTAATCTTCGTTATGGCCTGTTATGTCTTCTTAGTACCCCGTGCTTTCGCTTTGTACTATTTATCACCATTTGGAATAATTATGCTTTTGGGACTTTTAAATTTAATGTCAATTATCCCCACCAGGTTTGATTTCTGTGAGGGTAGGGACTATGTCTGTTTTATTGGCAACTGTGTACCCAGCACTTTGAAAACTGGTACATAGTTAGTGCTTAATATATTTTTTTGAATATTTATGTAAGATTCCATAACCTGTTCATGGCTGTCTGACTACAGAATTTATGCCTAGTCTTCAGAGTCAGACATCTGGGTTCAAACACGAATTCTGTCACTCATTATTTGTGATTTGGGGACGTTATCGCCTAGGTTTTAGTTCATCTTTTTGTAAAATGAGGAAAAAGATAGTGCTCATGGAGTGCCTGAGTGGCTCAGTCGGTTAAGTATCCTACTCTTGATCTCAGCTTAGGTCTTGATCTCAGGGTCATGAGTTTGAGCCCTGCGTTGGGCTCTGTGCTGGGTGTGAAGCCTACTTAAAAAGAGTGTTCATGCCATGGGATGGTTGTAAAGGAAAATGATAAAACATGTATGGCTTCTAGCACTGTCTGAAACATGGTAAATGCTCAAAATCAATAGCTTTTAATATTTATAATAGTAAACTATTGCTTATTTTTACTTTGATATGTTTTGTCATCATATAAAATTCAACATGCACAAAACCCAGCTCACTATAGTGTTCTGTCATCCAGCTTATATTCCACCTTTGGTGTCTGTCAGAAACAAGAATATTCTCTCAATTATCCTAGGTTAGAAATCCCCTTCCTTTTTTCACCTCTTATATCTGATTATTCAGAAGTATTTTTATTTTTCCTTTGAGATATTTCTTATATCTGTCTCTTCCTTTTTTAAAAAAAATTTTTTAATGTTTATTCATTTTTTGAGAGACAGGGAAAGACAGAGCATGAGCTGGGGAGGGGCAGAGAGAAAGGGAAATACAGAATCTGAAGCAGGCTCCAGGCTTCATGCTGACAGCATAGAGCCCTATGCTGGACCCGAACCCACAAACCACGAGATCATGACCTGAGCCAAAGTCGGACACTCAACCAACTGAGACACCCAAGTGCCCCTCTGTCTCTTCCTTTTTATGTTACCCCTCTTGCCAGGAATATTGCCATTCCTTCTTTTTAAAGTGTATTCCTTATTTTCAGAGAGAGAGAGAGAGCCAGCTGAGGAAGGGCACAGAGAGATGGGGGACAGAGGATCCAAAGCAGAGAGCTCAATGCTGGCATCGAACTCACGAGCTAAGAGATTGGCCTGAGCCAAAGTCAGACACTTAACTGACTGAACCACCCAGGAGCCTCACCTTGTAGAGCCATTTTAGACTCTATCTATTCTTCAGGGTCACAGCCAGATTTCCATTTCAGAGGCCTGGACTTAGCATTGAAGTCACCAGTATCAAACAGTTTCCTACATTTCGTTTTGCCTCCCTCTATTAGATTATAAGCACCTGTAGAGCAAGCCAGTGGCTTAGGTTTTTTCTGCCATCTCTTACAATGTCTTCTACAATTTTGTGTCTAGAGTATACACTCCATGAATTTATCAATTCATTTGTCAGTATACAGTCCCCACATTTCTAATTTGTATGAAGAATGCTTATCTTGTGGCGCCTGGGTGGCTCAGTCGGTTAAGCGTCTGACTTTGGCTCAGGTCATGATCTCATGGTTCGTGGGTTTGAGCCCCGCATCGGGCTCTGCGCTGACAGCTGGCTCAGAACCTGGAGCCTGCTTCAGATTCTCTGTCTCCCTCTCTCTCTGACCCTCCCCTGCTCACGCGCCCTCTCGCTCGCTCTCAGAAATAAATAAAAACAAATTTTTTAAAAAAAGGGAAAAAAAAGAATGCTCATCTTTGTTGTTCAAGGAATAAAAGAAAGAACTTTTAACAAAAGTAATAAAGAGATGTGAGAGAGAATTGATGTATAAAGTTGGATGTTAAAAGTCAGAAAACAGCGTGTTTTAAGACAGCTACCTCGATCGGTCCTAGTTTGTACATCTTTTAGGTGGATATTCGTAAAACGAGGATTTGTTTTCACTTTTCCACCTGCTTTTATATGTCTTTTGTTAAGCAGTTACAACAGTTTCCTTGACAGGGTAGATTTCATGTTTGAGGTTTAACTTCCGTAGCTTGAGCGAAACGAAGCAGGGTGGGTCGACCACCTTACCACAGAGGTACAAATCTTCTTTTAGCACTAGATCTTATCAGTTTCTAATGAAACATTTAGTAGAATATGTGTTATTTAGCCACAGCCAGCCTCATGGTTAGGATCTCTGAATGTATATCTTGAGGAACAAGGGCTCTTTATTCTGCTGTGGTAAAAATGGACTGTAAGAACTGTCTTTTATGTTTGCTCTTAATGGGGCCATTAAGTATACTGTGTATTGTGAATTCATGTAATACTACTGAATATATGATAAAACCATGGTATTTATATCTTTCCCTGAGGCACGGGATTTCCTTTACTTACTATGACCATCTTTAAAATGAAAATCCATCTATTGGCTCTCTTGGTTTTCATTTTCCCTCTGTCTCTTTTTACTGTTTCTTTTTTCTACCTCGCTCTCTTTCCTTCTCCCCTTTTTCTCTTATTTCTTACCATTACCAGATTAGGTAATAGCATCCAAAAAAAGTAAATTTGGGTTCATGTATGTCTTTCCACTTTAAAAAACATACACTTTCTGGAAGAACCAAATTCAAGAACTCAACATTTGAGTCTTCTAAGTATTAGAGAAATTTCTAACGTGTTATTCTTGACAATGCCTTAACTTTGTTGTGCTGTTGTCATGAATGCATCCTTTTAGTCAACTGACCCCACGTGATGTGTGATCTTATTTGAAATAATGGAAGTAACAAAGCTGGATCACAAGACTTCATTGAGCCCCTTTTCAACAGGGAATTTATTTTAAACTTGCTTTTATATAGGTTTGCCTCAGCGAAATGAGGGCGCACATAAGGTCTTGTCAGAAGTATATAGATAAGTATGGACCACTGCAAGAGCTTGGAGAGACGGCAACAAGGTTTGTTTCAACACAACATAGTTGAATGCTAAATTTGATATGCCTGCAGAGAAGTTAATAGGCTGGACCGGTTAGCCATTTCATTGTGAAAATATCTACGGAGTTGTGTTCAGGCTTTGAACCATAACACCTACTATTGGTAATCATTTTACGAAAGAATTTTGCTTTCTGTACTTCGAAAACTTTGCATGGGTGGTACCAACCGAGCACAGGAGAGATTGGAAGAACTTCCTCAGACAAGTTTGTATTAAGGAAGATCCAAAAATAAAACGTGGAACTGTTCAAGTTCCTCAAGGCTCTATTTTCTGACTAATAGATTGAAGTAGATCCTGGTTCAGAGCCTACTCTTTTTCACTCCTCCACGGCCATTGCTCAGTGCCCCTGCTCATTTCCTGTTGTGCTGCTGGTTGGTCTGTAGAAGGGAGGAAGTAACATCTCAGTACCTAGCCTAACAAGGGAGAACAGGCCTGGGGCAGGCATCTTGAGCCCTATACCATTTTTGTGGGTACTCTTACGGGACTGGTAGGAGAATGGAGACGGTTAGTAGAGGCAATGAAGAATATTGATCGTTATTATTTTTTCCTTTAAAAAAAGAAATGAATCTGAGCCATGACTATCTTGATGGCCAGAGTAATTGCAAAGGTTGGAGTCTCTCCCTACCAAAAAAATACAGAAATGATTTGTGTTTTCCTGCATAGGCTGAAGGCTTTGAAACCATTAAATTCAAGTATAAACTCAGTTACAAGTAGTGATACTCAGTAGGAGTGTGATTTATTTTTTTTCTCTCCTGAAGGAAAATGTAGTTTTACTTATTTTAAGAAAATACACTCAAAGCTTAAATTTCCTAACCTGAAAGTCTAAATGGTTGCCCCCTTCCATTGTTTCACTAGAGATTGCTTTGAAAATGTATCCATTATCAGGGTTCGTTGTATACCATGATGTTATAAACTTAAAATTTATACAACTAAATTTAAATTTTAGTTTAAAGAAGAGTATGAATTCTACTAGATTGGCTACAAGGACCAGTAGGAAGGAAGGATAATAAATGGGTTAAGAAAATATATGGGTTTGATTTCAAGGTTGTTAGGCTTTATAAAAATATATGCAGGCTAATTTAAATCCTAATTTTTTCTGCTGGTTAGAATTAAATAATAAACAAAGTAACAGAGAATGAGGAGAGGGTTGTTGATTAATCAATCTTCTCAGACTAATATTTGCATTTAAGATAGAAATCTTTGCTTCATAGAGGAACTTACTGCTGCATGATTCAAATTTTTAAAATTCTAATGGGTTCAAGTCTTAGGGAACAGGAAGTTGTATCTATGATAGAAAGTGAGCAAAAAATTCCAAGGCTCCTTATTGTACCTATGAGTTTAAGGCAGTACTGTCTAAGAGAACACGTATGTGATTTTATTGTTTCTAATAGCCACATTAAAAAGGCAAAAAGAAACAGCGATATTAATTTTTAGTATATTTTATTTAACCAAAGATAGCTCAAATATTATCATTGGAACACGTAATCAATATAAACGTTATTGCGGTATTTTGCTTTTTTATATGGTAAGCCTTTGAAATTCACAGTGCATTTTGTACTTCCAGCATAACTCAGTTTCGATAGCCACTTTTCAAGTGCCAAGAGATGTACATGGCTAATAGCTACTGTACTGAATAGCACGGATGTATAGGTCAAATACTCCTTATATCCACCTGCAGTTATATCCTGGTGGGGCTGAAGAATAAAACAACACCCAGTTATGTTACCTGAATTAGGAAAGGGAGGAAGAAAAAGAGAAACAGTAGCCCAAGAGACAGCTGGGTGATGTGGTCTCAGTTAATGAGTGCCCAGACTGCACTTCTCCTCCAAAGAGAATAAAGTGCTTCACGTGCTGTAACTGCTTCTCCATGGTGCCCCTGTGAGAATACTTAACTTTTCTCCATGAGAAAAAGCATAGGCATCTGACCATTATCAGGATCGGAAAAATCATGGCAAATCTGGAAGTTTCCAGAACAAGGGCTGGAAACTAGATCTGCCTACATTCTATTGTTTACCTCTAGTTAAATACTAGCAGTTTTCATCATTTTTGTATTCTCTGCAATTTCCAGGTGTGTGTGTCCATTTTGTCAGAAGGAATTGGATGAAGACAGCTTGCTGGATCACTGTATCACTCATCACAGATCAGAAAGGAGATCTGTGGTAAGGAATTTTGTTACTATATACTTCTGCAAAGTCTAAGTTCAATATACTCTAGAAATCCGTTCAATAGTCTTGTGCTTATGGGTATATAATGAAGGATACTTTATGTCAAGGTTGTGATAATTCTGTGACTGTTAACAATATGTGCGTGGTAAGAATTATGAATGTGCAATCACTCTTTCATTAAGGAACTTAGACATTATTTCTTACAGATAATTATGGGCATAATCAACTAAGATCAAAACTACACAGCTAAGATCCAACTTGAGTATACTCGCTCTGGTCATGTCCTAAGTTAAAAACATTTTTTAATAATGCAAATAGGGTTATCACAGTAATTCACTAGAAATGAGAAGTAGAAAGTTATTCATCTTTGATCAATCTATTGTTATATTTCACAAGCTGAGTATTTATCCAGATGCTTGCACATTAAATATACATATCGCTCATCATTTCCTAGGTTCATCATGATGCTTCCTTTTTTTCCTTTGCAGCCTGGCATTTTAGTTCTACTTTGCAGTGTGGCTTTCATTTTGGTGTAGTTGTGAGGGATAGCAGGGTGGTGATGGGTACATCCTCATTTACTTAGCCATTTTACTATTTTTTGTACACTTGTTACCAATTTTAGCATTTGAATTCATATTGCACATTTGAACTCTTCTTTCTATTGGATTTTTTTTTCCTGAGGGGAAATCCTTAGATTTATCTTTCTGGGACCAAGAGAGCAAACTTTTTAATAGTTCTTGAAATATACTTCTGAAATGCATTCCAGAAAGGCTGAGTCAATTTCTATTTGTGTCAGGGATTTGTAAGTAAACCACTTTCACATTAACCTGGCCAACACTGGGTACATTTATTTCAAAATTAAAATAAAAGTGTCGCCTGGATGGCTCAGCTGGTTAAACGTCTGACTCTTGATTTCGGCTTAGGTAATGATCTTGCAGTTGTGAGATCCAGCCCCTAGTTGGACTCTTAGCTGACAGTATGGAGCCTGCTTGGGATTTTCTCCCTCTCTCTCTGCTCCTCTTCTCTCTCTCTCTCTCTCAAAATAAGTAAATAAATAAACCTTATTTTATTTTAATATAAAGATAAATAAATATTGAGAGAGACTGAGACAGCATGAGTGGGGGAGGGGCAGAGAGAGTTGAGAGAGAGAGAATCCTAAGCAGGCTTCACACTGCCAGTGCAAAGCCTGAGGCAGGCAGGGCCCGAACACACAAAGCTATGGGATTGTGACCTGAGCAGAAATCAAGAGTGGGACGCTCAACTGACAGAGCCACCCAGACACCTCTAAACAAATAAACTTTAAAAATAAATTAATTAATTTAATTCAATTAAAATAAAAGACTTAGCAGATATAAAATAATACCTTGAAGATTATTTTGAGTTTTATTTTAGTTTTATGTTATATATATGTATATATGTGTATGTATATACACAGACACGTGTATGTGTACCATTTATATAGATATTAGGGGTTTTTTTTTAATTTCAATTTTAAGCTTTATTTTCCTCCGTAAAATCCTTTTGGAAAGTGATGAGATTGAAACATAGTTATGTTAGATAGATAGATAGATAGATAGATAGATAGATAGATAGATAGATAGATGATAGATAGGGGCGCCTGGGTGGCTTAGTCGGTTAAGCGTCCGACTTTCACTTAGGTCATGATCTCGCAGTTCGTGGGTTCAAGTCCCGCGTCGGGCTCTGTGCTGACTGCCAGCTCAGAGCCTGGAGCCTGTTTCAGTCTGTGACTACCTCTCTCTCTGACCCTCCCCTGCTCACGCTGTCTCTCTCTCTCTCCTAGAAATAAATAAAACATTAAAAAAAAAAGATAGATGATAGATAGATAGAAGGATAGTTCTTATAACAATCCTAGAAGATAGATGTGATTACCTCCATTTTGCAAATGATAAATTGAGGCTCAGAGAGTTTAAGTAAGTCTTACAAGGTCACACAGCTGTTAGGCAGCAGAGCCGCCATTTGCACACAGGAGTCTAGCTCCAGAGCATGCTGCACCCCTGTGCTCTACTAGCAGGTTCAGAAGAAAAGCCAGACAATATGATCAAAGGTATTTGTTATTGACCCTAGGCTTAGGAATTTTGGTTCTTGGAATGATTTGATATGTGTCGGGAGAGTAGGGGAGACTGTCGTGGGCTTTTACTGCTCTAAAGTTGCTCTGTGGGTGGAACTAGGCTAAGGAGTCGTTTCATGATAGGTCCTTGGGGAGCTAGAGGAAGTTAGAAGAAAGCATTAGGATGGCGTCATAATACCTACCATTTATTGAGTTCTAAGTGCTTCCTTGTCTCCTGGCTACCTTGTGAAGGTATTATCACACAGCCTGAGCCCTCACCACTAGTACCCAGGTGCTGCTCTGGCTGGAGGGACACCAGGTGCTTTGGGCCATGGTCTTGGGCTGCATCACAGCAGGAATCTGGGGCAGGCTGTGTACTGGTCTGTCCACTGGCACTATGTACCTGCTCCAGCAGAAGTCCAGTCCACCTGCTGTGCTCAGTTTGGCTATCAGATTAAAGGAGCCCATGGAAGCTAGGTCTTCCTTGATTTAGAGGTCATAGAGACCATTGAAGAAAACTGACCTAAGGGCAGAAATAAACCAGGAATGGTGGGATCCGATTGCCCATCGAATTCATAGTTAAAACCTAGGCTTTGGAGGAGATAATCCCAGCAAATCGCATTAATGGCTTTGCCTCTATGTCATCGTTGGTAAAATGGGGATGATGATGATGATGATGATGCCCTTTCCACCGGGTGGTAGGAAATGAGTCATTTGATAATGGTGGGCTGCCAGCACTTTTGCAACTACGTAAAACCAAGGCTAGTAGAGATTTCAAGGAAGCCGTGTACTCCACAGTTGGGGAGCCCAAGCTGGAAGGGGTGTGAAGTGGTGAATTTCACAAGACCAGGACACAGTCGTGGCCTTGAGGTAGGAGCAGACTGTTCACAAAATCCATGATCCAGTAATACACGAGGGCTGTCTAGGTCGCTTCTAGAACAGAAGACCTTCAGTTTCCTATATTAATGTGTTATGCTGGGATGGAAAATCAAGACATGTGTCACTCTGAAGGATTTACAGCCATTAGAATTCAGTAGATACTTTATTATGAAAAGGCTGGAAGTAGGTCCTGTGGCATAGTTAGGGTCCACATGGCTTAGGGATCCTCAGATGGGGAAACACCTCCCGGAAAAGTCCTGCGTCCAAGGCTGATTCTGGATTGGTGTGGACGTTAACAAGGAATCATTGCTTTGAGGGCTGGGTTGCTGGGTTTGCTTACAGATAAGATCCGGGACATCATCTGACCTATCTCGCATAAGAGGTTTCATGGCAGTTAAAGATTTGAGCAAATGATTCTGCCTTCTAGATAAAATTAGCTAATTCAGAGATCAACCCACAAGCAACTAATCTTTCCTTTCCAAGTTGCGTAAGACTAGGGTAATGGGTTAAGAACATAATGGAATGTTGAATTTTCTCACATGGAGTTTTAAGAACCAATAGCTCCTTGGGGCGACTGGGTGGCTCAATCAATCAGTCAAGCATCTAACTCTTGGCTTCAGCTCAAGTGGGGCTCTGCACTGACAGCACAGAGCCTTCTTGGGCTCCTCGCTCTCTCCCTCTCTTCTCTGTCTCTCTCATGCTCTTACTCTGTCTCTCAAGATAAATAAACTTAAAAAGAACACAACAGCAATAACCAACAGCTCCTTTTTGTCGCACAGTAGTTATATTCTGCAGTATTTTATTTAAAAAATTTTGTATCTGTGGAATATTAAACCCAAAGGAGGCCAACGACATAAGCAGCTTGCTTCAGATTGAACTGTGAGAACACTTTTGAGAGAAATTTGGTATTTTGTCTTCTAAAGGGAAGATGTTTCCACAAAAGCCATACTTTCTGGCTACTCTCTTCCCCCCGAGCGTTCTTTCTTCAGTGGTTGGCTCTTATTTATCCTTTAGAACTCCTCTTAAATCTCACTTCTTCAGGGAAGCACTCCCTGATGACCAAATTACTTTTAGCTATTGCTTTTCTCTCCTCTTACTTCCTTACTCATCACAATTTGTAATTGTGGATTCATTTCATGTCTGTCTTCTCCCTGTAAGTTACTAGGTTCATGAAGTCATGGAACTTCTTGGTTCAACACTGCCTGGCCAGCTATTAGAAGAGAAACTAGCACATAAGAGGATATAGTGATTATGAAAAATAAGATATTAAAGAAAACGTAATTTCATTCAAAGGATGCAGTAGTCTCTTATTCTCTGCCTTGCTCCTGAGATTCATTCCTTAAGGGAAAGTACAGGACTTTTATTGGATTGGAACATAAACTGTGGTGATAGAGCTTGAGCTACCTGCCCCACAGAGGTTTATTTCTGTGGGTATTTAGAATATCTGTGACTCAGCTGGGCAGTGGGGGAATATGTCTTGGAAGGAAGAAAAATCTGTATTAAATTTGCTTTCAAACTCTTTACTAAATTAGATGTGCAGTCCGGCACCTTAATTTTGGTTACATATTTGCCTGTAATTATTTTTGGTGCATGTCTCTTTTCTTTCTTTCTCTCTCTCAGATTCAGAAATTTTAAATTACTTCCCCAAATGGCACTTGGCATCAGATAGTTGCTGTGGAGGTTAATCTAAACCACAGATAGAGCTGGATGTCCATTGTAATAGAGTTCCAAAGGTTGGTGGTAGCTTCTAATATGGCGGCTGTTTTTCACCTGTGGTGTTCACCATCAGATAAAGTCCATTCTGGGTTGAGGACAACATCTGTTGAATGCACACTGCACAATGGTTGATTCCTAATCTGAGTAGCATGGCCCAGGAGCACTGAATACAGGCAGTTAATAAAGGATGAGCTGATACTAGTAAACGGCAACACTGGGGAGAATATAGGTGCACACTTAGGTACTTGGTAATGATTAGTAACTCTCATACCATTTCTCTCCCCTTCCTATGTTTACCCTCTCCCCCTTCAGGTCAGATCCTTCAGTGTAAGACACAAAAGAAATCTTTAGAGTAGTATAGCTGTTTTCCTGTTGTCTTACAATGTCCTTCTGGTAGAACTCTCCTTAGTTACACAGCTAAATTTTATGTACAACAGAAGGCTGAAGTCTCTTCTCCACTAGTTCCTATTAACTTCAGACTAAAAACTTCAAGGTTTTCTGATTCTTTCTCCTTCACTCAATCTAAAAGCTCCTTAATCGTTGGGCCAGGGCTTAGCATCTCTGTACCTCTGACTCTTGACACAGGGCCTCCAGAAACCATAATAGGTGCTCAAATGAACATCTGTTGAGCAGAACTGGTCCCAGCGTATCCTTCCAGACTCGTCTCCTACTACTTGCTGCAACATGCCCTGTCTTCAGCCTCCTACAGCTTTTCCCATTGCCTAAGCAGGTCTGTCCTTTTAGGATCTCCTGCCTCTTCCCACATTGATTTCTCTGCCCATTGATGCTCCTCACTCTGGCATTGTTGGCTCATTCTTCCAGACTCATTTCAGTTGCCAGCAGCTTGGCCGAAGCCCTTCATCATTTCCTGGGCAAAATTAATGATTCTCATTTTAGGTCTTGAACTGTAGTTTGGAGTATAACACTTGAACGTGTAGTGTAACATCTCAGCTACAGCACTTGCTATGCAGTAGTAAAAGTATTTGCTTAAGTGGTAACAATAGCAACCATTTAGTATTTGTGCCAAGGATTGAGCTAATATAATGACTGAGCTTCAGAACCTTAAATGACATCTTTTAAATATACAAACAGCCCCGCAAAGGAGAGATAGTTCTCATTTTATAGGATGAGATTAGTTACTTGCCAAGGTTCAGTCAGTGAGAGGTAGGTAGAGAAGAAATGGGAAACAATTTTCCAGGTACTGGGAATCCAGGACTAAACAGGACACTTGTAGTTTCTTCCCTCATGGAGCTCCAACTATTCAAGAACAAGGATCAAATAGTAGTAAATATATGTTGTTCATTGAATCCTTAGTATGTACCTAGCACATTAAGGACATTATCTCTAAACATCATTACTGCTCTACAAGGTAGGTGGTAGTATCTTCACTTCAAAGAAGAGGGAAACTCATGTGCTAAAGGTCACACAGTGAGCAAGAACTTGAACTTGCAGGGACTTGAACCCAAGGCTGTCTGATTTCACAGGCCACGCAACCCAACCCTATCTTTACTGGTTTCCTTATTCCAGGTGCCTAGCACATAGTAGAGGCACAATAAAGAGTACTGAGTGAACAAATCTCTATAACTAGTATCCCTTCCTTCACACCACAAAATATTGTTGCTTTTTCTTAAATATTTCTTGATCTCAGGTGTGTTCTCATTACTACATAGGGGTCTCTGGATAGATTAAGTGCTATCTTGGGATAGAATTTTGTGATTAGAAAATCAGAAATGATTATAAAGCAATAGTAACTTAAATGATATAATTTTATTAAAAATAAGACAAATATAGGAGTGCCTGGGTGGCTCAGTCAGTTAAGTATCTGACTTCAGCTCAGGTCATGATCTCGTGGTTTGTGAGTTTAAGCCCAGCATTGGGCTCTGTGCTGACAGCTCAGAGCCTGGAGCCTGCTTCAGATTCTGTGTCTCCCTTTCTCTCTGACCCTCCCCTGCTCACGCTGTCTTTGTCTCTCTCTCAGAAATAAATAAAACATTAAAAAATTAATAAAAACAAATTAAAACCGTGATGAAATACCACTACACACCTATCAAAATGATTAAAATTAATATGTTAATTTATTAATTAAACAAATTAACGGGGCATCTGGGTGACTTAGTTGGTTAAGCCTCCGACTTCGGCTCAGGTCATAATCTCACTGTTTGTGAGTTGGAGCCTTGCACTGGGCTCTGCAGTGACAACACAGAGCCTGCTTGGGATTCTCTCTCTCCATCTCTCTCTGCCCTTCCTCTACTTGTGCTTTGTCTCTTAAATAAACCACAATACAATACAATTAAATTTAAAACATATAGATAGTACCAAATGCTGGTGATAATTCATACATTGCTAGTGGGAATATATAACAATAAAACTCACCATAGGACCCAGCCCTCACACTCCTGGAAATTTGTTCTAGAGAAGTGAAAACATGTTTATGCAAACATCTGTATACCAATATTCACCTTAGCTTTACTTGTAACAGCCAGGAACTAAAAATGACAAATGTCATTCAGAAAGTAAATGGATAAATTGGCACATTCACATCATGGAGTCCTATTTCAACAATAAAAAAGAAGGAACTTTTTGATGCATTCAACAACCTGGGTGAATCTCAGGGCCATTATGCTCCACATGAAAAAAGCCAATCTCAAATGGTTAAATAGTGTATAATCCTATTTATATAACATTCTCAAAATGATAAAGGTCTAGAGGTAGAGACCAGATCAGTGGATACCAGGGTTTAGGGAGAGAAGACAAGTAAAGAGGTGGCCCAAGGAAGTTTCTTTGTAATGACACCGCATTTCTGTATCTTGATTGTGTTTGTGGTTATATAAATCTATACATGTGATAAAATTTCATAGAATTACACATGCACACCCAAAAAAACTGAGTTCATGCAAAAATTGTGGACTCTTAAGTGAAGTTTGTTGTTAATTGCCAATTTATTGGTTTCGGTAATGTACTGCAGTTATATAAGATGTTGCCTTTGGGATGGGGCACCTGTGTGGCTCAATCAGCTGAGCATTTAAGCGGCCCACTTCGCCTCAGGTCATGATCTGATGGCTTGTGGGTTTGAGCCTTACATTGGGCTCTCTGCTGTCATCACGGAGCCCGCTTCAGATCCTCTGTCTCCCCTTCTCTCTGCCCTACCCTGCTCATGCTTGCTCTCTCTCAAAAATAAACAAACATTTAAAACTTTTTAAAGAAAAGAAGAAGAGGGGCGCCTGGGTGGCTCAGTCCGTTAAGTGTCCAACTTTGGCCCAGGTCATGATCTCACTGCTTTTGAGTCCAAGCCCTGCTGACAGCTCAGAGCTTGGAACCTGCTTGGGATTTTATGTCTCCTTCTCTCTCTACCCTCCCCTGCTTGCACTCTGCCTCTCTCTATCTCAAAAATAAACATTAAAAAAAAAAATGATGGGGAAGGTGACGGGGTCATAGGACCTCTGGCATTATCTTTGCAATTTCTCATGAGTTTATAAATCTTTAAAAATGCAAAAGGTTATTTTTTAAAGCCATTACTGCTATTAAGAAAATATGTGTAAATACTAATTGATACCAGCGTGTTATAATCTATATTGCTAGTGGAAATAAAAAACTTTAGGGCAATAGATATTATGAACTATAAATGTTCATAATTGTTGACTGGCTAATTTCCATTTCTGGTAATTTATTCTAAGAAAATAATCCCTAAAAGGTAAACAGTATAGATAATATCATTTGTAATAACAAAATATCTGCATACCAAAAAAGTTTTATGTATTTCAGGAACAAGGCAACTAATTAATCTATTATTCTTTAAATAATAAATTTTTATTGTTTAAATAATAAATTGATAAATATGTACAGGGAGTGCATATGAAGAAATAAGTGCAATTTTACTTAGTATTGTTAATATATATGCAGTTTTAAGATATTATGCTGAGGGGGTGCCTGGGTGGCTCAGTTGGTTGGTTAAAATGGTTAAGAGTCCAACCCTTGATTTCAGCTCAGGTCATGATCTCATGATCGTGGGATCAAGCCCCATGGCAGGCTCCACACTGGGCATGAAGCCTGCTTAAAATTCTCTCTCTCTCTCTCCCTCTCCCTTTGCCTCTCCCCGGTTTGCGTGCACATGCACATGCTCACACTCTCTCAAAAAAAAAAAAAAAAAAAGATAAGATAGACGGATGGATAGATAGATAAAAAACAAAATATTATGCTGAGGAATGGCCAATAGATTCCTAAAGTTAAAATTCACTTTGCTGAGCGGTTATTCAAGTTTTTAAATTCTGACACTAATGATTATTTTAAATTCTTTCTTGAACTCTTGGTTTTCTTCATTTCCAGTTCTGTCCACTCTGCCGATTACTACCTAATGAAAACCCAAGCAGCTTCAGTGGCAGTTTAATAAGACATTTGCAAGTCAATCACACTTTGTTTTATGATGATTTCATAGTAAGTATATTTTCTTACTTTTACATTGTTTCTATGTGCTGTGTGTTAACCTTACGTTTTTAAATTCAAGCATATAAGATTATGGCAGAAAAAATGTGTATAGACCTGAAGTTAAGTATTAGCATTAAGTAGGAAATTATAAAAATATAGAATTTTATAAACTTGACTATTAATATGAGTTATCTGCCTTAGACAAAATTATTGTCTTTGTGATCAAGATAGTCATTGTGTAAAGTACTAGATTTCACTTTCAAATTATTTTAAGTTTTACTTTAGTTCCCCCTTAAGTATAGTTCAAATGTTTTCAAAGTTGAAAACTTATGTACCTGAGATGAGATGAAATCTCATCAGTAATGAAATGGCTCAGAGTTTATTCTGCATGCAGTTACCATTACATTGAATGGCTAAGAACGCGTATGGTAATATCAGTGTAGTAAGACACACAGGCCTCATATTTTATTTCAATTCCATAAAACACAAAACTCATATTTATTGAACTTTTATAATACTGAAAAATTTTTATTATGAAAAATTATAAATATATACAAAAGTAGCCAAAACAATACCATGAACTCCCATGTATCCTCAATAACTACCCAAGAGTAACTACCCACTCATGGCCAATCTCATTGTATTAAGAATTTGGGGGGGAGGGCACCTGGATGGCTCAGTCAGCTTGTACCTTTTGACCACCTTCATCCAATTCCCCCTCCCCCACCCAAGCAATTTTTTTTTAGGATGGAAGAAAAGTTAGATGTAGTATGAATAGTTCTAACTTATGACTGTATTTCCCATGATCAGAAATGAGAACAACAAGCCAAAAGTTAATGTAGCCTTTGTTCTACTTTGCTCTGTGTGTTGCCATGTGAGGGTAATGTGTTATGCCCGAGTCCCTGTCAGCAAAGGGGTATTGCCTGTTCTGGAAGGAAAATCATTCAGAGCCACATTCTGAAATAGTATATTTTATTGTTTCCTCTACCTAAATACATGAAATATTAAGGGCTAAATTTAACTTTGCATATAATTTTCACATGATTTTTTGACTGCTTTCTTTTTATCCAGTTTCTTTTTTTTTTTTAATGCAATTTCAAGATAGAATTCAAGAGCTGTTGAAGACTGTCACTTGAAAATTTTCTCCCTGCTTTTAGATCTGCCCACTGTGGTTATCTAGATTCAACAGAAAAGGAGCTTGGGTCCTGACCTGGGTTGAAGTAATGGCTCGGTCACAGCTCTGTGACCTCGGGCAAGGTATTTAACCACTGAGCCTGTCTGTTCATTTGATAAGTGAGGAGAGTAAAAGCACTTCGTCCCATAAGCTCTTGAGAGGCTCCAATTCGATAGCGCATGTAAAGTTATATACACGGTTTAGGCAAGGGCATTAGGCAAGCTGGAGATGGGGAGACCATAAAAGTCTTTTACATACATAAAAGTACTAGGGCCACTTGAAGAATCGAACAGGCTACACAAGAGAAGCTTCATGTTCTCAGCTCCAGAGCTCAAATAGTGTCTTTTCTGGATGCTAAAGCACACAGGACCTCAGCAGAGGCTGGTTCCGGTCTATCCGTTCTCATGTTTTACAACACACAGGACTTCCTCTTTCCCTTAGCTCCGTTAGGTGTTTTAAAAACCAGGTTGATTCCATATTTGTTCTGGCTATTCACAGTCCATTCTTCTCAAGAATTTTCAAAGTGTGATTCAGGGCTGGTCAGGAGGAAGTAACTTTGATGAGAGTACTTTCAACCCACTCAAAACCATATTGTTGGATGTGAAAGTAAGGAAGAAGCAGTATTACTTGTTTTGACTTTTTGGTTTCCCAAGCTACCAAGTACTATACTAAGCACTTTAGGCATATTATCTCATTTTATTCCTTACAGCAGCTTCTGTGAAGTGTGTATTGTCTGACTATCCTCACTTAGCTATGAAACATCTGAAGCTCGAAGGTTAATAAGTTGCCTAAGAAAAAACCAGGATTGGTCCAAATCTTGTTTTTGCCTAGGCCTTATGGTTTTCCTTTGGATTTTGTTGATTTGCCTTTGTGCTCTTATGTTTTAGAATAGATTTCCAATAGAGACTTTGTTTATTTTTATTGCAGAAGAGGAGATGGATTGCAGAGGATAAGGCTCTTAGTAGCTTTTGTTTTATTTCCAGCATGTGCTAACTTAAGTTTTGAAAGCCATTTTAAACATTGAGGGCCAAGGAGAAAGAGAGTTTTGTGTTCAACATATTCTTCAGAAATGGATATTCAATGGTAATACAGGGATTGGTTAATTCCAGAGGAATGTCTTGATTTTACTCCATATTAAAAGTTTACTTGGAACATAGATAGCACCCTGACCACGATTTATAATGTTGACTAAAAATTACTAGTTTAAACTCCAAATCAAGACTATTCTACTACGACAGTAACTAGGTAATTGTTATGCGTTAAAAAGAAATAGAAAAACACACTAGCCCCAAAGCAAAAGTTCCGGGATAAGTTTATGAGAATTTCTGTGGAAACTTGGGACAGGTCACTAAATTCAGGGCTCTACTTTCCTGCAAAATGAAGCATTGCCTTGACCTTTATCCTCCAGTTGCTGAAAACTATCATCTCTGATTGTATGTTTCTAATTATTTTTCTTCATCGTAGGATTTTAATATAATTGAGGAAGCTCTTATCCGAAGGGTCTTAGACCGGTCACTTCTGGAATATGTGAATCACTCGAACACCACATAATTATATCCAAAGGAAAGGGAAGGAGACCATACAATTGCACCATTTGTTAAGATGCTGCTTGAACAATTGGAGGGAAATTGTCAATGTTCTATGGGCAAAAATGTACAACACAGTTATATGTTTGTCCATGTTTATTGTTGTATTGCATTTTATAACTGCTTTCCTTTGGATGGTTTAAATCTGTTTTACATTCTTGACTTTCTTAGACACTTAACAAAAATTAGTTTCCATTAGCCATCAAGGTATAGAGGAGAACATAAGGCAGGATATGTGAGTGTACGATCTTTATTTGCAAATTGGATGATACTATGTATAATGCTGTAGATTAATAACTATCATCATGGTTGGGCAAGATAACTAATATTTGTTCTATGTAAAAAGATGGAGAGTGAAACCAAGTATAGACATTCAAGGAAACATGAAATCTGCTCTAGGGCTTATCTAATCTCTAATAGAATAATATGGGTAACCTTGTATCAGAGTAGAAAAGGAAAATCTTGAAAGTCAGCAAAGCCTGCTTAACCAAATTGTAAAACAACACTGTAAACAAAGTAACTGTTGTGTTAACAATGTATGCTTAATACTTAGACTTTTTATAACTATGCTCAATAAGAATTTACTATTATATTTTTCAAATATTTGTAGCTTATTATTTAGAAATATTTCTATAATATAGGTAATTTCTTAAGGACCTTTAGCTGATATTTATAGAAGTGTTCACATCCATAATTTTTAGTGGAAAACCCTAAGGGCTTTGATTTTTTTTTTTTTTTTACTTTTATCTTTTAGAAAAAAATATATAAAATATAAATACTGAAAGCCAAACCGAAAATGTAGGAAACAGTTTTAGAAGTCTGCCACTCTGGACTTCCTCTGTGTGTCCACTCACAGTTATTAACTGTCTTCCACAGAAGTAATCACTACAGTGATATCAATACCTAAGTGTGTATTTTAATCTGTAGTTTCTCTTTTCTTTTCTTTAAAATTTATTAGTTGAAGAACTTGGTCTTGGATAGAGTTATCCACAATCTGTATTTTGCTGTTTGCATGCTCATGGTGCAATTCAGCACATTCCTCTTTCCTCTGAATATTGACACATGGATCCAGATATAATAGACTCAGGTTCAATCCTTTTTGGCAAGATTATAGGTCATGGTGTGTCCTTTCAACAGAGGGCACACAGAACAATGTTCTGTTCTCTCTTTTCATGATGTCAGCTGAAATTGATACTCAATGCCTAGATCCATTGATTTATTGTGAGCTGGAGGATATTCTAATTCTATAATTTCTCTTCCACTTATTAGTTGGAACATTTTTATAAAGAGATGTTTCCCCACATCTACTATTTGGTTAACCAGTGGTCAGGTTTGTATAGGAAAGGGAAAGTAAATATTTGTATTCTCCCTGTATTTACTAATTTTCAAGATAGTAAACTTGTTTCCTATTCGCTTCCGGAGATCACTTTTTCTTTCTTTTTTTTTTTTTTCAGTGTTGTGAACTCATGGATTCAAACATGTGTGATAGGCCTCAACCCATTTCGGATATTACCTTATTGAAGTTTAAATTGTCCCATCTCTGGCTATTGGGAGCCATGCCAAGTTGGCGCTGAGTTGTTTTGACACTCCACTAGCCATCTTTAATAGCTTCCTTGGTATCTCAGAAGACAAGATATTCCAGGCTCAACTTGTGTGTTATCTGCCCCAGACCTGGAATCAGTTATCACTCTAAAAAGCTTAGTTACTTTCAGTGAGAAATGGCATTTCAAAACCATAATCAGGGCTCTAAGGATGCTCATTGCTAGTAGATTGGCCGTTTCTAGGAAAGAGCTAGGACATATCTATTTTTTTTTTTTTTTACAAGGTAAAACACTTTGTGAGTTTATTGTAAAACTTCCAAATCAAGTTGAGTACTACAGGGATTTTACTTAATCCTTTCTATTACTACTGTATCTCCACTTTTCTACAATGGGAATCCTAGTTCTCAAGGACACAGGGCATGATAGAGTTAAACTAGCCCACAATTACTCACTTTCTTTATTTACCTTACACGTGCAGCAGCCTCAGAATAACAGTGCTAAAACCACCACCACCAATATGATAACTGAAGCCGTTAAAATGTTTTCGTTTGCTCTTCCCAGTCTCTATTTGTAAAAGTCCTACTATATCAGCATTTCCAGAACATACTGGTGTAACATACTATACTCTCTCCCTTCTATCACCCATTTAGTCTTACTTCTTCAAGTAACTGTATATTCAGTGCTTGTCACTAGTGGTCATCTGTGATGACTCTGTTTTTCATATCTGGTTCTTTAATGATGAATCCAGGACATAGAATGATGTTTCTGTATTGAAAGTAAGCAAAGGAAGCTATTGAAGACTAGTGATAACAGCGGAGGATAAAATATTTGGCTCTACTTAGCTTTGTAATTGTAATCGTTATAAACTCTGTTCCTTACACACAAATGTACTCATAACCACAGTGCCCCAAATGTTTTATAATTACCCATTCCTTCATTAAAGTCTTGCTTACTATTCTGCCATCCCCTATGAGGTAATTAGAAAAACATAAAACCGGATGAAATCTAGAGGGCCTTATTTCCTCTCTTTTAGATACTGGTTTCAAGCTTGCTTTTCACAGCTGCAAACAAGTAGGAAGAGATTTTTGGTTTCACAGGCTCTTGTCCTGCAATTTGGATGGATCATCCAATAAAGCAAAATCTGCTAGACCACAAGTGCAAAAAGAGCGGAATTTCTCAAAGATAATCAGACTGAAAGTCTAGTCCCTAAAAAAAGAACAACAATATATTTCTGAGCTTTAGTACTGATTATCCAGAAAATAAAGCTCTGTTAATTCTGAGCCACACAAAAGACATCTTTAAACCTGTAAAAGGACAAAACTTCAAAACATTGAAAACTACATTTTAAGGAAAGCTTTAAGTCATCTACCACTATTAACTTGAGCACAGCAATTCTGCATCCCGTCCCTGGATTCCTCTTAGGGTGATTTTGCCACCTACAGGACAAACAAGGTGCTGGCCGCCTAAGTTATTTTGCCTTCTGAATTATTTTGAGTTGTAAAATCGTGAAGTGCAAATATTCATTGTTTCACTGTGCCTTTAACCTTTAATAAGAAGGAATTTATAATTCATTGTTTTAAAAAATGAAAACCATAAGTCAGACTGTTACACTGTACATCTTAAACATAATTATACAGTGATGTATGTCCATTTCTCAATAAAACTGGGGGTTTGGGGGTGGGATAAAAAACAGTATTTGACGTTGTTGACTTTTAACAAAGTATTTCTCTCACTTTCTTTATCGTGCCTCAAGGCAATTTTTTCAAGGCCTTATAAAGGAAAAACTGGTTGAAATTCTTCTAACCCAGCACAAACCTATGGAGATTTTCCTTCATGGGCTTTTTAACCCAAGTTTCTAAAATGTAGGTTGAAAAATTGGATTGTGAGTCTAGGATAAAGAGAGTTTCAGATCCAATCTCCTAAGAGATCTTGTCTCCAGTGATGTTGCTTCATTTCTTTACTGGGTGCTAGGTGGTTTTCATTTTCAAGTGGGCTTACTCCAGTTATTCAATGTTTATCATATCATTCATACCTTTAACGATTGAAATGATTTTAAAAAGTTACTAAAGATTCGTTCTTTTATTATTCAACTACAACAACAAATCTGTACAGTGATCAGAATTTAAAATGTACAATTCTTTTCCTTCTGTAAATATGTATTATTGTTAAAAATAAAGAATGGCAGGACCATTGCTTTCATTAAAATATCTACCGTGTCTGCTTTTTTTTTTTAATGTTTGTTTATTTTGAGAGAGAGAGAGAGCAGGGATGGGGCAGAGAGAGAGAATCCCAAGCAGGCTCAGTACCTTCAGTGAGGAGGCTGACGCAGGGCTCGACGCAGGGCTCGATCTCATGAACAAGGAGATCATGACCTGAGCCAAGATCAAGGCAGCCAACTGACTGAGCCATCCAGGCACCCCTACTGTGTCTGTTCTTAAATACGGATCTTGATAGTTTTTTATACAAACCTAATTAGCTTTTTAAATTGTCATTGTTCAGGGATATCTATCACAAACATATACTTTCATTTAGGCCAGTCGTTAGATCATTTTGCCTCGCAGGAGACATTTGGCAACATTAGGGACATTTTTGGTTGTCAGAGCTGAGGTGTGCTGTTGGCCAGGGATGTGGCTACGTAAAGGCCAGGGATGCTGTTCAACATCTACAACATATAGGACAACTCTCCACAGCAAAGAATTACACTGAGGTTTAGAAACCAAGATTTAGGCCAAGGTAATGCTGAGCATCATGGAGTACTGGTTCTGTATCCAAAGGGCTTCGTTGAAATTTAAAATTTAAGATGTAAATAGACTCTATAATTCCTATTCCTTGCTAAATACATACTATGTTTGGGGTAACAACCATGTATACCTCAGATCAAAATATATTCAAACAGATGAAAACTTTTGGGGTTTTCCGCAAGAAGAGGTACAGGACAGAACACAGGGGTTATTGACATGACCTCTAATGACTTTACTGAGTACATCCTAAAATATAGAAGCAACACAGAATGGATTGAAAAGACTTACCTTTATGACCTAGATTATCTTCACTGAAAATAAGACAATACATTTAGAGGGACACCTATGTCTGAGATCTTTAAGGCTAAGAAATATTTATTTCTAGCTTACTACTGGAAAATAATCTGGTATTTTAATCTTGGGGGTTTCAGACAAGACTACACATGGGTCTTGGAATAAGGCTAATCATTGCCACAGAGGAGCCATATGAGAGCCCAGTGAAGGTGAGCCCCCCAGGGAGAGAATAATCAATATAGATTAGGTCATGCTGCAATTACAAGCCACCTCAGACCCCCGGGCTCACCCAGTCAACTGTAGATCCTGCCTATTGTCCAGAGACCTGTTCTGCAGTCTCAGAATCCCAGACTGTTTTGATCTCATGGCATTTGTATATTATCATGGGCTTCCCCAGCCACCCCTCACCACAATGGGCTAAAGAGTTGATTACACAGGTCATTCCACTCACATTGCATTTGCCAAAGCAAGTCATGGCCATATGTAATTTCAAGGCACTGGGGACACAAAATCTTCTAAGGTAGAAGAGAACTGGATATCGGGAGATAACGCAGAAGCACAAACTGGGAAGAGTTGGTAGACAGCAGGCGGTCCCTAGGGGAAAGTTATTAAAAATAGTGGTGGAGAGGGGCACCTGGCTGGTTCAGTCAGTAGAGTGTGCCACTCTTGATCTTGGGGTCATGAGTTTGAGACCCACCTTGGGGGTAGAGTTTACTTAAAAAGAAACAAAAGAAAAAAAACTCACATATCGAAAGGAGAGGCGAAAAGTCAAAACGAGACTAGCTTTTTAGAAACATGAACTGATACTCATTTTGCTATGGTAATTTTTGCTTAAGTTTACTCAAAGTTTGGGATCATTTCACCAAATGAAAGATCTTTCAATTTCTCAAACATAAAACAATAATTTCATTTTTTAAATCACTTTTTCCTTTCATTAAAAATGTCAAGTGCGTTCTCAGTTCCTTATAAATGTATTGTGTCAGGATACCTCATCAGAACCACTTGTCTTACTTGTTATTGCATTTTTCTGGGCCCTCCCCAGATGTAGAATTAGAATGTCTGAAATTCTGATGAATTCATCAGCAACTTATCAAAATGTATTCAAATCCATCCATTTCTCACCATCTCTGCGATTACAATTTTAATCGAAACCATCTTCATCCCTGCAGTAGGCAGGCCTTCTTGTCTCCACTTAGGACATTATGGTCCATTATACATACAGCAGTCGGAAGGATCTTCAAAACCAGATGTCTGATTATGTCATTTTCCCTCCCCACTGCGTAAAATGCTCCCAAGGCTTCCCCTTATTACTAGAATAAAATCCAAATGCCTTCCATTCTCTTCAAAAGACTTTCATGATCTGGCCCATACCTACCTCTCCAGTTTCACTTCACTACACTCTTTCCCTTGATCCATACCAGCCACACTGGTCCCTAGGTTCCCTGAACACACCAAGGTTACAAGCATCCCTGTGCCATGGTACTTGCTATTCCTTTTGTTTGAAGTCTCTTTCTCCAAAGTTTGGCGCGTCTGCCTCTGAATCATTCAAACTCTCAGCTTAAATGTCATTTCTCATCATGTCTTTCCTCATAACTCTAGCCAAAGACTCTTCCCCATTTTGTCATTTGCCTACCATAGTTTCTTCTTAACTGTCATTAGAATTTGAAATTAGTGGGGTGCCTGGGTGGCTTAGTCAGTTAAGCGTCCAACTTTCACTTAGGTCATGATCTCGTGGTTCGTGGGTTCGAGCCCCGCGCCGGGCTCTGTGCTAACTGCCAGCTCAGAGCCTGGAGCCTGTTTCACTCTGTGACTCCCTCTCTCTCTGACCCTCCCCTACTCACGCTGTCTCTCTCTCTCTCCTAATAAATAAAACATTTAAAAAAAGGAATTTGAAATTAGTTTACATGTTTATTTTCATTTTTATTCAGTGTCCTCTCTTGAATATAAATCCTTTGAGTGCAGGTATACACCAGTAAACTATCCATCTTAAATTTTTTTAGTGTTTATTTATTTATTTTGAGGGCGGAGGGGCAGAGAGAGAGGGAGAGAGAGAGAATCCCAAGCAGGATCCCCCTGACATGGGACTCAGTCTTATGAACTGTGAGACCATGTCCTGAGCCAAAATCAAGAGTCGGACGCTTAACTGACTGAGGCATCCAAGCTTCCCCTACCCAACACCTTAATGAGCATTTCATTTTTTACTTTTTTAAAAAGTTATTTATTTATTTTGAGAGAGTGAGAGATCACAGGAGAAAGGCAGAGAAAGGGAGAGAGAGGGAGTCCCAAGCAGGCTCTGTGTTATCTGCGCAAAGCCCAATGCAAAGCTTGAACTCATGAGTTGTGAGGTCATGACCTGAGCTGAAATCAAGAGTTGAACACTTAACTGAGTCACCCAGGCATCACTGAAATTAGTAAGTTCAGATCATGATCTTAGAATTCATAAGAATACCTCAATAGGTAAGTGTCTTAGCTCAGACTATTATAACAAAATACCATAGATTGGGTGACTTACACAACAGACGTTTATTTCTTATAGTTCTGGAGGCTGGGAAGTTCGAGAGCAAGGTGTCAGCAGATTCAGTTTTTGGTGAGGCCCGTACCTGCCCTTTAGATGGCCATGTTCATATAGCAGAGTCACAGCAAACTGTTCTCTTCCTCTTTTAATTAAAGAATTAATCACATCACGGGGGCATCCACTCTTCCGAACTTGTCTAAATCTAGTTACTTCTCAATGTAGTAACTCCAAGTACCATCACATTGGGGGGTAGGACTTTAACATGAATTTTGAGAGATAACATTCAGCCATAATAATAAATATTCAATGAATGTAAAAACATAGTTAACAATGAAGAAACATTGTAAAGCACATATATATAAAACATGCAAATATGACTAGTGATCAAAGATATTAAACAAAAAACTCTAATGATATAATTTTTTTCTCTTAACACAATGTCTGGCATAGCATGATCTCTCAATAGATATTTTTTTTCAATCAGCCTGTCAGCAAAATTTCTCAATCGATAGTTCTTCACACAAGAAAGATGTGGTAGAACTGACACATTGTGGTAGGGTAGCGTTAGTGGTATAATGTACACATTCCAAAGCAATTTGGTAGTGGTATTATCCCGACACAATGATTCTACTTCTGGAAATGTTTCCTGGGACTCTAATCCAAAATGGAATCTATGTGCAGGATTATATTTATTGTACTGCCATTCGTATTAACAACAAAAAAAAGGAGGGTATAAATTAGAGTCCAATATCTTTTTTATTTTTTTAAAGACCTCTTTTTCTTTGTTGTTTTTGGTTTTGTTTTGTTTTTAAGTAATCTCTGCACCCAGTATGGGGCCCAAACTCATGACCCAGACATCAAGAGTTGCATGCTTTACCAATTGAGCCAGCCAGATGTCCCAAGTCCAATAATTTTTAAAATGTGGCCTTCTGATTGAGACTGTCATTAAATACGTTAATACATTTTTCAGTTTACTGTCAGGTCAGTCTGGGAATGATTTTATACCTAAATTATCACATTTAAACTCTGGCATTTATGGTTGGTTTTAATTTAACTCCCAGAGAGCAATCCTATTCAATATTTCCAAATTCTTAGGAAATATTTTATTGTTGCTCTAGTCCTCCTACCCCTGATAAATCACAATGTTTCATGCCTCCGTGATTTTGCATACTTCTTCCTTGGCTAAAATAAATATCATGATTTCTCTGAAAAGACTTTTTTCAGCCATCCAAGTAAAGTCAACGACACCATCCTTTATATCATCACTATCCCTCGACCACACCTCCATTGCTACAGTTATCATATTTTTTTATTTATATGCCTAATGCTCACGAGACTGGAATTTCTTTGAGGGCAATGAATGACATTTATCTTTACCTTCACAGAGCCTTACTATAAACTCAATAAGTATGTCTTAGTCGGCTAGGGCTGTCATAATGAAATACCATATACGGGGTGGGTTAAACCACAGAAATTTACTTTGTCATAGTTTCAAAGGCTGGAAAGTCCAACATCAAGGTCCATCAGGGTTTGGTTTCTAGTGAGAGGTCTCTGGCTTTCAGGTGGCCACCTTCTTACTGTGTCCTCACATGACAGAGAGAACATAAGAAAACTCTTTTATAAGGGCACTAATCCAATCATGAGGGCACCTTCATGATCTCATCTAATCCTAATTACCTCTCCCAAGCCCTATCTCCAAATACTATCACATGGGGGGGGGGGAGGGTAGGATTTCAATACATGAATTGGGGGGGAAGACAGTTTATTGTAACATGTTTGTTGGATGGAAAAATGAATGACTGATGGCTGATAAATGGACTAGAATACTCATGTTAGCTCCTTAGCATATTTTTTTCTTACTAGTAAAGTATATTTGGGGAGCAAAATTATAATAAAGACAGCAGCTTTATCTCTGAATTTGCTCTATATTGTTTACCTAGAACTTAGCACAATGCCATGCATCTTTAGGCATTTAACAAATATCTGGGGAAAAATTAGTAAATAAATTATAGTTTGAGGAGTATAGGCAAGATGTTCTTAATGAGTAAAGCCTTTGAGCTATATGCATCTCTTTTCTCTAGATATACAACCGCAGGTCAAGTGAGCCAATCTACTATACAGCTTCTCTCAGAGACAGGGCTCTTAAGTAGCAATTTAGGCCACTGGTATAGATCTTACAGGAGAAGCAGTATTATTCTGCCTTCATTCAGTACGTTTGGAAGTAAGGTGCTAATTCTGAGAGACCATTGTACATTATATATTACAGTTGCTGATTTTAATTTGCTCCACATTATACAGTGTAGTAATTTGCTACAGAGTTCACTTAGGTAACCAAATAAAATGACCTAGCCTGGGTAATCAGATAAAATGAAGAAAATGTTTGAAAGACTATTATATGTTTTGATATAAAATACATACATATTTTACTATGCCTCTAAGTGTATTTCGCTTTGTCCCTTTGACACATTTTATTAATGAATGGAAGAAGGTCAAAATTTTATAAGTAAAATCATACTGTCCTTTGACAGTATTTCAAAAGTGTGTTCTCCAAATTTTCAGTCTTAAGGAACACTGGTTGGAAAACTATCCGAAAGAGAAATAATAACTTTCTCATAAATTTTAATAATGGAGTCAAACTCTTAAAAACAGAAAATAGAATGGTGGTTGTCAGGGCAAGAAGGGAGGAGAAAAGGGAAGTTGTTGGTCAGCGAATATAGCGCTTTAGGTCCAAAAGATGGAAAAGTTCACTTGTCATATAACAAGGCGCATATAGTTAACACTAGACTATGCACTTAAAAATGGTTAAAATGAGGAGCCCCTGGCTGGCTCAGTTGGTGGAACATGCAATTCTCAATCTTGGGGTTATGAGTTTGAAGCCCATGTTGGGTGTCGATATTACTTAAAAATAAAATCTTAAAAAATGGTTAAAATGGTAAATTTTATGTTTATTTTTACCACAACAAACAAACAAACAAACAAGCAAGCAAAATTCATATGTGGGTAAACTAAATACGACAGTGTGTATGTAATTCTGTGCCAGTTTGGGAAATTATAATTGTCAGTGAAATTTCGGAAAGAGGGATCATCTCACTGGTAAAGTTCTTGAGATTTCAAAAATAAAGTATTTAAATATAGAGACTGAACAACTCTCCTCCCTGTTGCTATTTCTTCCACCCACTGGTCTCTCTCCAGACTTGGGATAAAGTTTAAGGCACACAGCTTTGCTTGCTTCTTTTTCCCCTACTGGCAGTGGTTGTACCTTCTCTTAGATATTTATTGTTTTGAGTCACCAATCTGGATTTGCATCACTTAATTATAGGATTTTTGATGAAACTCTTAAGAAGGCAGTTTTTGTTTTTGTTGCAGTGCTGTTCTTAGTGTTGTTTCTCACACTGAGTATCTTCAGCTCAAATAAATTAGTATTTGGGGACCACTATGAGGGAAGAATCTGCCTGGGACTAAAGGGAATCCAAGGAAAGCAGAGCCAAGAGAAAGTGAAAAAACTAAATCCTGAGGAGATATTTTGGGCCTCTGGTTTGAAACACATATCATCTCAGCTTTACCACTGGAATTATGTGAACTAGAGAATTCTATTTATTGCTTAAGCCATTAAAAATTTTTTTTTTAAGTTTGTTTATTTTGGCAGACAGAGAGAACAGAGGAGGGGCAGAGACAGGGAATCGTTCACAGGCTCTGTGCTGTCGTCGTGGAGCCTGCCTCAGGGCTTGAACTCACAAACTGTGAGGTCATGACCTGAGCCAAAACCAAGAGTCAGACACTTTAATTGACTGAGCCACCCGGGCGCCCCAGCTTAAGCCATTTTAATACTTGGATTTCTATTACTTGCAGGGCAAAGAAACTTGGGATTCCATGCAATATTTCTGCATCCTTTATTTAAAATTATTTTTAAATATTTATTTTTGAGCAAGTAGGAGATTGACAGAGTGCAAGTTGAGTTGGGGCAGAGAGAGAGGGAGACACAGAATCCAAAGCAGCCTCCAGGCTCTGAGCTGTCAGCACAGAGCCTGACACGAGTCTCGAACTCATGTTGTGAGATCATGACCTGAGCCAAAGTCAAACGCTTAACCTTAACCTACTGAGCCTCCCAGGCGCCCCAATATTTCTGCATTCTTAAAATTCATTTCCCCCAGGAGTGCCTGGGTGGCTTAGTTGGTTAAGCGTCCGACTTTGGCTCAGGTCATGGTCTCACAGTTTGTGGGTTTGAGCCCCACATTGGGCTCTGTGCTCACAGCTCAGAGCCTGGAGCTGGCTTTGAATTTCGTGTCTCCCTCTCTCTCTGCCCCTCTCCTGCTCACACTCTGTCTTTCTCTCTCTCAAAAATAAATAAACATTAAAATTTTTTTAAAAAATGCATTCCCCCATTAACTAGTTCAAATTGAGTTCTGTAATGTACAACCTTAGAGTCCTAAGTGATACAGACATCAATACCAGAAATGGATTACTATTTCAGATCATCAGAGAAAATGCAGACCTAGCTTACCTGCAGCTAAGTTGAGGGTTGGGGTAGTAAATATTCCTGCATTGTATAAGATTTTGTAGGTAGATACAAAGCAATTGCCTACACTATATCCTTAAGTTTATTGAGCCTAAAGCATATGGCTATGAAGGGTAAAGCCTTAGAAAACTTAGTAGCAAATCATTAGTGGGTCAGTATGCCAGTTATCAGTCTATTAATTCTCAGTTCCAAATTTATTATTTTTGCTTACGGTGGGAAGATAGATCTGGGCGCTTAAATATTTTTCTTTTGCCAGCTAACACAATAATACGTTTTTCCAACAGAGGGCACTAGAGAGAAACTGCAAGAGGAAAGGCATTTTGTTTCCCCAGGTATATATTTGCTGGTATAGGCTTGCTTCCCACAGCGCACAGAGCCAACCTCGGTTTCTGCAATGCACAGTGGCCAGCAGCACCCGGCAGACAGCATCCACCTCCGACGTCCCCCTGGATGGTTTTGTAACAGAATGCCTCCAACGGACCCTTCTCTGTAAACAGCTTTCCCTTGCACCCTGCATGCTTCTACCAGCATTATACCACAGAGACTTCTCTGCCATCCGGTGAACCCCAGGTGGGTCCTCTCCAGCAAGGTCTGGATTTCCATCCCTTGGTGGTCGGGCGCTTCTCTGGGTACTCCATTTCAACTTTTTATTGTGCAGGATGGAACGCTTCATGAATTTGCATGTCATCCTTGTGCGGGGGCCATGCTACTCTTCTCTCTGTATGGTTCCAATTTCAGTACATATGCTGCTAAAACAAGCATTCAAGCCTATATTCTTTTGAGTCCTCTGTACTTCTTATACCAATCCCCTATTAGTTAGAAAAATTTTATATTAAACTTTCTCTGTTCAAATTACTGTGATTTCCCTTCCCAGATTGCCCCTCAACTGATAAATCAGATTGATTTTTCCTGAGTACCTTCAGTAAGGTGTAACAACAAATTTGCATGCACCTGTCAAGATTTTCCTGAATGTGAACAGAAAAAAAGAGGAGTTTGGAACTAATAATGCTGAGGTCCAAATCAAAACAGTCTGAAATACAGAGGTCAAGTTCTCTGACTCACACTACTTTCTCTGTAGAAGATTAAAATGATGATTGAGAACATAGGTATCTTGTCACCTACAACGGGGAGGAATTAATGGAGGATGTGGTTACCCTGACACCCTGGGCCACACCACAGCACCTCACACTGGCTCCCCTCCTGACAAACAGGATGACACTACCATTGCAAACTACATTTTAGGACTGGAATTCAGTCTGGGGGCAGGGTACTAGTCTAGAAGAGAAAGAAGACTTCTCTGCCACCCCAGTTTCTTCACCCATCCTGTCCTAAGACAAAGTTTGTCAGACTGGGTACATGTTGTCCCCAGAGTTCCAGCTAAGAAACAGAAAATCTATGAGTATAGCCCAGACTTGGTTCTTCAACTTAGCAGCCAGGCTGACCTGATAAAGTTTTTGGTGTTTAATTTTAGGAAATTACCGTAACGTGAAACTGACAGGTGACTGTGGTTTCATTAGAACTGTAGCACCAACAAAACCCAGTCTGTATAACAGGCCTGTGATTCACTGAAATCAATGGGAAAGAATGTCTTAATTCTTTAGACAGCCTCAGGCCATTCTTGTACCTGGTACCATTAACAAGTGAATTGCAAATGCAGTATACCCCTTCCCTCTCCCCAAACAGGTTATCTACTCTAATGTCCTTTTAGGTGCTCCCTTGGCAATAGGAATGATTCCAGAAGGCGATACTAGAGAGCCACATTAGTTGACAAGAGAATTGTCACCACTGTCAAGTCAACCAAATGATGCCCATGAGACTCAGTGCTTCTCTGCTTTGCTTCATTAAATCTGTCCAGCTGAAAATGGTACATATCCTGTGATTTCTTCCCTTCTCTCCACGTTTTAAATGTAAGTTTTCATAGTAGTTATATTTGCTCTACATTGTGGTATGTAAAAGTTGGTTGATAGGGACGACATTTTTGAGTTAGTCTAAGGCTGTAGGAGCATGCGATATTAAACTAGATCAGATTAAGGGTCTACTAAAGGAATAAAGTATTTGGAGACACTGGACTGGAAAAAAGCAGTTTCATGACATTGCCTCTTGGAGCAGAGCTGGAAGGTACTTTGGATTTTCTCCTTTAGAAGCAGTGTATGCAATATGTATTGAAAGGGAATGGCTGGAATAACTGAAATGTATGTATAGAAGGAAGGGTGTGTATTTCTGCTGGAAGATTCTTCTACTTCTCCAAAACTTAGGTGCTTTGTTTGCTTTTTAGAACTGGTGTCAGGCTTTTGCCTCCATTGTTATACTGGAACTAATCTTGTTACAGTTGTCTTTATCTAAGCCATGTGCCCAGAGGATGTCCATAAATGTGTGAAGTAAAAGGGAGCAGGGAAAGAAAAAGAAAAATGGTGAGGAAGAGAAAGGAAAGTTGTTTAGATGCTTTAGTTTTAAATTTACATATTTCTCTCAAAGATTAAAAAAAAACACCAAAGAAAAGTTGAAATAGGAGTTAATTTGTTGGAACTACTGCCATTTCTGGTCTAATTTATGGTTCTGCTTCTTAGGATGGCATATTCGATTCCATGAAACAATTTCAGCTGCATTCAAAACGTCTGTTTCATTTTTGGTTTGGTCTCTCTACTGATTGGCTTTCTCTTTTGGGGCAAAGGAAGGGGATGCTGTCCCTTAGATCATGTTAACATACCTTCCAAGTTAGGTCCTAATAGAAACTGACTGACCTCTCGTGATCTCAATTCTAGCTTCCTGAGAGAGGTATAACTGGCACAAATTGGGATTATATCCCCTCTATTTTAATCAATGGTAACATGGAAGTTGGATTCTGTGGGATAAATAGGGCCACTAGGGCCACTAATAGGAACATTAGTAAGAATAATAGCTGTACAATAGTGCATAAAATACTTCTGATAGGAAATTAAATGTTATTAAATAGCATGAAAGATGCATATTCATAGTGACAATTATGAGGGTTGAAATTTAACTGTCCCAAACTAGGATGGACTAAAAAAGAGTAAATTTTTTTTATTTTTTATACTTAATCTCACTTTTGTGTTTCCATTTGTGCTAATTTGCAGAGTTATGAAAAGAATTCAAACTCACAACGGCAAGTAACTCAGTTCCTTCTCTTTGGGGGAGAGGAACCACTTTTGCGGTGTTTCATTCTCCTCTGCCTTCCTATTTCCTCCTAAAGGGTTAATTCAATTAGAAAAATGGATCGGGGTCCAATCAGGAAAGAGAGCTCTCAATAAGCAGTTCAAAAGAGATGTTTAATATGGAAAACAATTACAAAGATGTCAGGAGAGCTGAACGACCATGTGTGACAGTGAGGTCAACACGGAAGCCACTCAGAAAAGGCAGGGACTGCCCAGCAGGCTCTAGGCTCTGGAACCCTGGAGTGAAGGGTGGTCTTCCAGAAGTTAAAACCATGACCAAAACAAAGCCACAGCCAGAAGCAGAGAGAAAGAGAGAGAGACAGAGACAGAGACAGAGACAGAGAGAGAGATGTCTTGGCTTCTTCCTTCCAGTCTCTCATCAGTGCCTCCCATGAGCTGAATATAGACAGAAGTCAGCTGATAGGGGAAATGAGAAACAGTCAGCAAGGGCCAGCCTCAGCAATATACACCAGAACCGGAACAGGTGACAGGTAGGGAGGTGGATCTGATAGTCAACAAGCAAACGTCTGGCTTAGGTGCTTTCTAGCTACAAGTAACCAAAGAGCCAACTGAGAATGGTTTAAACTAGGACTTAACAGGAGGCAGGACAATTTCAGGGTTGATCAGATTATTAGAAGGGCTCAACTACCTAAGGACCTACATTCCTTCTATCTTTTAGCCATGCCATTGGTCAGGATACTGGCTTAGCCTTTGGCTTATTCTTTTCACGGTTTCTTGATGGTTTCAGGGTCCCAGGCAGCACAGATGGACAAGAAACTATTCAGACGTAGCATGGTATTGTTTATTCCGATTTGTTTGTTTTTCAGTTAGCCAAGAAAGGCACTTGGTGAAGTCCCTCAGAAGAATCCCCCTCACACCTCCTTGGTCATGACTGAATCACATGCCCAGGCTTAAACCCATCCAGACTGGCTCAGTCATGGTACTTCCCTTTGAGCTGGAAATGTCCTTCTGAAGGGCCTGGTTGGGAAAAAGAAGATACCTGAACAAAAATCATGATTTGCTAGAGTGGGGGATGGGAATAGAGTTTATAAATGTTTGCTGATGGGAACATGATGCCCTGTATGGTTTCCCTTCCACGTTTTTATTCACTTGACCTTCTTACTCAGCCTGAGTGTGGGTTGGGGTGAGGTCAGGAAAAGAAGAAATTAGGATTAATTGATCAGGAATGTAAAGAATGTTGCTCTTATTATTTTTTTTAAAGAACATTTCCAAAACAGGCTTAATAATTAAATAATATGCCTTCAGCAAATAGGTTATTTATGTACATGATCGGGACTGATGTTAAAAATATTTAACCACTGGAACCAAATGGGCACTGGCCACTCAGGACAGACTATTGCCCAATCAGAATGGGCAAGCTGAGAAGGACTGGCAGAGCTGTGCTAGTGCAAACCAGCTGAATGTCCACAGCACACATGGTACAAATTAAAAAAGATACCAAAGGGCAGACGGTGAAACATGAACTCTCCCATTCCATCCCCCAGCTTCCCACTTCACTTCCTCAAAAGCAACAACTTTTACCAACAAAACAGACTTTTGAGGCTCTGTGGTAAGACAAACCCAGGCTTTGTGAAGAAAGAATTAATTTTCTGAATCCACTTATCTCCGCCTTTTAGTACATTAAGTACCTGGCCTGGTGGAGTTGGCTGAAGAGTTTTGCATATGGGAGGGCCCGAAAGGCAGTAAGTGGCAAGGGGGAAAGGTCCACATCCAGTCCAAGGGATTGTGGTTGGAAAAGAAAGGATGATTCGGGAAAAGGGTAGGTTGAGGAGAGTGCTGACGACTAGGGGGCTGAAAGCATCTTATCTTGTAGGTTGTGCAGAAGCAAAGTAGGGGTCAGCACTACATGCCAAGTCAGGGACACAGAATGTTTAGATGGAATGACTCTCCCTCCCAGACTGAGAGAGAAGAGGGCCCCAAGGGATACCTTGGATGGTGGCTCTATTGAGAGTAGAACAGAACATGAGAGGCCTTTCATGTTGAAGGTCAAGGAATTGGAAGAGGATTGTGACAGAGATTCAGAGGGTTCTACAGTGTTGGTGAGGCTGAATCAACCAGGGTACACCACAGCGCCTTGACCTAGCTGAGTCAGGCCAGAGTAGTCTTCGCTGGCGGCTACCAGCAGCTGAAATGTCCAGAACACAAGGCATCTCAGAGCGGAGCCAAAATTAGCCTCTCTGCAGAATAGTCCAGCAAGAATTCAAAGGAGACCTTGCAGATGTCAGGACTGAGGTTCTCAAATAGTGTCTCAAGTTCATGTCAGCTACCCCTTGTCCTCCCTCTTACCCTCCCAGATGCCACTTTGAGGGAGGCAGACTGAGAGAGATGGAATATTAAAAGCTTAAGTGTTTTAACCTAAATGTAAAGAGACTGATTAAGTTATGGCAACAGAATAAATTTATCAAGTTGGTGTAAACACTTAGGGTTTTTCCCCTACTGACCAAAGGCTGTATTTTATTTACACAGCTGAATCTTTTTTGAGCAAATCTGTGACACTGCCATAAAAATATCGTGTAATTTTTCATGTGAAATGCTGCCAAGAGAGAAGATGTGTCTTTTGGCCAATAT